CATCGATTCCTATAAGTAAGTATTTTAACTGAGGTAAATTTTCATATGTTGCTGATGCTTTGCTTCCTTGAGTAATCTGTTTGTATCTCATTCTGGTGCAGAATATATGTAATGACAGGTACACACTTGATGCGTTTACAAAATGTCATACGACATGAAGTGAACAGTGGGAGGTCTTTAAACAAGATGTTACGTAAGAAAACTTGTAGTTCAGTCATTCAACTGGATCTTTAGACTTAATTCAGTTTAAATGTATAATTAGGAAGCGTTTTGTCTCGGTAAAGTGTATAATTATTGGCTTGTGCAGCAGTCTGAATCACTGAAATAGGTCAAAGTTTTTGGCGCCAGTAAAATGATGTTGTATCAAGATTGTAAAACGTTATTAGGAATGTTAACTCAAATATTCCCACATATGTGTGGTGAAGATTGACTGAAGATAGAACACTGGCATAAATGCACGTGGTGTATTTTATCTGAAAAGAAATGCATTTAAATGCAGCTTTCATCCAATGCCGTTGTGCGTAAACTGCTGTGGACTCTAGCTGTAACATCATTTTAGCTCGAACCTGGACCAGACTTTCACAGAAACAACAAGTCTAAACTTCCTTGTGAAAACAATTGCCGTCACTCATCTGACCAGAGGAAGCGGAAGGCCCTTTTAGCAGCATGTCTGATACAGTAGAATGCTCCTATGGCAGCCCGGTGGTGTTTGAACAGGAAGTGCCATTAAATGTACTGAAAAATACACAAAGACAAAAGATGCTGTCAAGCTCAACCGGAGTGCCCACTGGGAGTAATATGAGGGCAGACAGGAGAAAATAGGCTGTAAACACATGTAATCAGGCTGGAAGTCCTGGAGGCAGGCGTCCAGGTTATTTATTTCATAAGCCCACATGCAGCCGAAGGCTGGGCCTGGTCTGATGCGGTTTGCAGGCATGATCTCATTTCATTATCTGGACAAGCTCAGGTAGAGTTTCATCCTCGCCAAGGCCATCTGTGGCCTCGTGTTCTTGCCTGAAGCAGCGCCCAGTGCCTTTTCACCTGATGAAGAATAACCTTCAAGCCCTGTCTTTAGCACGTGTCACTGAGTGCTTTGTTAACTACTTTGTGAACAATGATGCTTCAGCACTTATTCAATGTTTTACATTCATCCTCAGCCTATGAGGTCTTCGTTTGCTTTTCCTTGCAGTCTTATCCAGGTTTTGTCTGTGTTTCTGGCTGCATTATTTTCACTACCTGTCAACCCCATCAAGTTTTGCACTTAAAGCCAAAGAGCAGTCAGTTAGCTGCTCTCTTCCAAGCTTCCAAGTGGCAGCAAACTGTAACAGATACAGCCCCCTCTGGTAATTAGTGCTGTGGGATGGCCGAGGCTTTAGCATGATGGATAGGCTGACCTGACTTAAAATGACATGGACGGGGTATCAACACACCAGAACGACTTCCAAGAGAGTCTAAAAAAAGCTAAAGATTTGAACAGTGGATGACACCTGCCACAGCGGACTTCTGCTATTCAGAAGTCTCTTGGTCTGGTTTACATGCGTGTCTTTGGTACGACTGGATAACACACATTGTTGTCCCCAGAGTGCTTAAAAAAGAC